CATTAATTGCTCTGGTGATGAAATGCACTTAGTTATAACTTCTAACTTCATGACTAGATCTGCTGTTTAATTGTTTACAGGAGGCTGAAGAATGCTGAGGTAACTTAGCTTAACAGATAAGCTAGTAACATTGTAAAAACAGTCTTTCTTGTTTTTTCTTTTTTTTCCAGATGTCTCTTCATCTGTAAGTAGCTGTATCTAATGCAGGGATGGATGTGTGTGCCTGTGCCTGCAGATGTATCTGTTATGTGCACACACATACAGATTTGAGAAGCTATATAGCAGAGTTGTTTGCATAATGAGTTTCATTTCTCTTCACAGGTCAGCACCTTTAGCGAACCTTGGAAAAACTATTGTGTGAGCAGTCAGCACACCAAGGCAGCAGCACCCGGTGGGTAGAGCTTGTCTTGGATAAAAAGCTGAATGCTGTGGTTTCACTGACTTGTCGTTGAAACCTTGTGGTTTCTGTGTAGGAGGCTGTATAGGCTGGACACATTCGACATCCTTGTTTCTGAGCTGTGAAATCTGTACATCTAATTTATGAAAATTATCTCTGGTTCAATTTTATTCTTTTTGTTTTAATGAAGTCAACATATTTTCCTTGCATTCAGTAGAAATGGTAATGGAAATGTTTTAAGATGCATTGTGAGCATTTTTGACCTCAAAAAGTGAGACAAGTCGAGATATTCTTGGTTATGATTAAGGTTGAGGAAGGAAATTTTAAATTAAATACAGAGAGCCAGATGTGAGAGGAAAGCGTTTTCTTAAGTGTGGAGACAAATAGAGTAAGTAACTGTGGAAAATGACAGAGGAATTATAAAATAAAAATCTTCCACCTGAGAATTTGATTTTAAAAACCCCAAACAGCTTAGTCAAATAATTAAGAGTAAACGATGGTGCTGGTACCATTTAAGGTCACCAGCAGTATCTCTAGTGTGAAAAAGTGGTCTAAATAAATAAATTTTTAAAAACCAAGACTAAAGAATCTAAAAGTAAGACAGAAGGAGCTGCAGCAGAAGCAGTAGCAGTTCCAACAAAACACAGTGGGCCACTTGATCACTTGGGTGTTTTTCCTTCTGTAGTTGAGTTCCACACTGCATTCAGTGAACTGATTGTCAGGATGACAGAATCATCACTTAACTGGAGCCAGGAGAGCCATGGACCACCTGTATGAGCCTTTACTCCTCCCCTTCTGCTCTGGTGAGTGCCTCCCATCCTGTAACTCCCCAGAAAGCTGAGCTGCAGCAATACAGGACACCTGAACCTCTAATATTGGCAAAGCCCATTCCCTTCACTGTTGGCAGCAGTGACTGCCCAAACTTTGGAGTTTTCACCAACAACAGTTTTGCCTCTTTCAGGCAAGTTCCCAGAAACATGTTCACCATTCCCTCTGAGTGAACCTATGGGAATGAATTAAAAATGAGCAAAGACCTCTGGATTGAAAACAAAGGAGAAGAGAAATAACATTCAAGTTAATAAAACAAAGTTTCTTGCTGATATGTAAGTGAAATTACTATTTGTGTGAAAAGAAACAACGACTCAGTGTGTTTGTGGGAGTACCAAAATCTGTCTGAAAACATTAGTCAAAGCATTCTTTGTGAATAAAGATTGAAAGTGTGATCACCCACTTAGCTATTTCAGAGGGATGACTGCAAGATTCATCTTAATAATTTTCAGTAATTTCCATATCAACACATCAATAGAAGACCATAAATTTTAATTCCTCATTACTATCTCATTGGTCCATCCTGGAGACTTGTTCCTTTTCAAGGAAAAAAATTTAAAATGTTACTCTAACATTGTATGTTTGACTGGCAAATTAAGGTATCTTGTCCTGCTTGTGTTTTCTTTTCATAAATCGGAGACAGCAAATATGATGTCTGCATCTGTCAGTGAATATACAAGAAAATGGTAAAACTGGTCTCTGAAAGTACTCTTCTGGTCAAGGACATTTTGCTTGCCTGTTACTTATGAGCTTCTTGCACACTTTACAATTGATACCTGTTCCTTGAGCAGGACAGTCCTGTTTCTCTGAGCTATCTTGTGGGAAACCAAAAGGCAAACAAGGAGGCACTGAAGATCCTAGCCCAGAGCAACGGTAGCTTTTGAAAATCACATTTTCCCCATTATCACTGCAATATATGGCAGATAACCAAGGATTAGCTCTCTTCTGAAGCACCCAGATTTTACTCAGAAGCAATAGGATTCATCATTCATTCCCATATAGCTCAGTTTCCACTCCTGGATTCTCCTCTTCTGACTATAATAAAGATTACACAACTACTTTGTTATTCAACCTATGGAAAAACCCTGTCAATGCCTCTTCTGCTTGGTAGCTGAGCCTCCCAGGACAGCTGCATGTCTTAAATCTCTCCTGCTGCAGTTTTGAACCCCTATGTTGAGGGCACAGCTGAAAAATCAGAAGAGATGCTGATGGCACTCCAAAGGCTGCAAAAAGCTTGTACTTGATACTGCTGCACAAAGGGCAAAAATGTGAAGGGAAGTGGAAACATTTAACCTGAGGACAGGAAAGCTCACGAGAATCTCAGAAAAAAGGAGACAAAGATGTAATTTCCAAAACAATACCCGGAGATCAAAGGAGGCTGATGCGCTTTCAAACACTGTTTGTGCTGGATCTGCAAGGAAAGGTTAAAGAATGTGCTGTGAAAAATGCAGAGTATGGTAGAGAAGCAACGGACCCTGAAGATTTTTTTTTGTCTTTTCCTTGCCATTGCCCTCTCCACTACTGATTTGGCCACACTGAGAGAAATGTCACCGTTTGCTTTAAATTGCCTTTAAATTGAGCAGAGATGAAACAGTTCTACCCTGTGATATAATCATGTGCCATGGAAGCTCTCCTTACTCATTGTCTGAGCTGCATTGTTTTCTCCTTTATTGCTAGACCTAGTTCAGTGCACACTTCCCCTCTCAGCTCTGTTCATCATATCCTGATTGTTTTTATTAAGTTCGATTTGTGTCAAAGCTAATAAATAACTAGAAATATAAAAATATTCTGTGCTGACGCTTTCATATGATCATTTCAGTTGTCCATTAATTATATTTAATTATGGAGTTTTATTTGAAATAGTTTTAAAAGCTAGGAAATCAACCTTTCTTCATTGTTTAAAGCAGAATATCCAACCTGCAGTGAGCTTTTTTTTTCTTGTTCATCTCAATAGTTGCAGTGTGTTTTATGCCATTTTGTATGGTTTCTGTCAAATTAAAAAGATGCTCTCCCTTGTTTAGATGATCAGTCTAACATTTGTAGTCATTCTCTGTGCTTTCTTAGATCTTTATGTTTCAGTACACATGCTCTGAAAAATTTTTGTTTTTTCACAGGTGACAAACAGTGCCAGAGTTATATACAGTGAGTAACCAGTATTGCAGAAAATGGTGGGCAAAGGAAAAGGACACAAGTAAAATCAGACCTTCGGTATAAAAAGCCTGAGGTTGGTTCTTGTCCTTCCTGCTTGATGCAGGAGGGTGAAGTGATCTGATATAGAAAAAGAAGGTCAGTAAGCCAGTGTGCTAAAGTAGAAATACCCAGGCACTTCAAGGCAGTTCATAAGGGGCAGGGATAATGCAGGTTGAAGGTAAAAGAACTTCTGCCTTGATAATTTTTGTCTGCTTCTAACAGGGCCAGGACAATTTTCATTAACTTACTGGGCAAGGGAATCTGGATTGCCACCTGTTTGGACAGGTAGTTTCCTTTTTCTCTTACAAAAAGAAAAGTAGTGAAACTTTTGGAATTCAAACGAATTCCAAAATTCGTTCAAATTCATTACATTTATGCTGCTCCTTGATGTTTAAAGAAAGAAAACCTCAATGTTTTTATTAAGACTGAGAGGATGGTCATGAGAAGCCAGTATTTTGTACATTAGATTGTCTTCTCTGTATAAAGTTGTATTTCATACAATACATTGTCTTCTCATTAGTGTAAATCAATCTTCAGGTTACTTAAAATCGTCCATAAGTTAGTGGAAAATGGCCTAATATGGGTTGCTGTGGACTGCTGTGCCTTATTGTTCTTTAGACCTACACAGCACTTTATTGCACCTAGTGAAAATGGGGTAAAAAAGCCTTATTTAGCTATTTTTTTCTGTTCCCATTTTATCCATTGCCTGGAATGACAGTCCCTTTGGCTGCCTCTTGCCCTGGACTTCTTCCAAGAAATCTGCACATTCCTTACTGAAGGGATTCAAGGGAACTTGCACCTCCAGGGTGTTGATTTACTTTTCTTCTCCTATGAGCCAAGATTTGTTCAAGAATGACACTGTGCAAAAAAAAAAAAAATGAACAAGAGCAGCTCAGTGCCAGGGTGGAGATTCACATATCCGTGCATAAATCAGAGCAGCTGAATGCACACCTGTGTTGCCTCTCACTTTAGTACTGAGAAAGCTTCCCAGGGCTGATTAGTCATTTGAGTGAAGTGCAATAAATGTCAGAGAAATGAATTAAAACACAACCTTGCTGAGTGTGAGGCATAGCTGCTCTCTAGTGGACTTGTGAATAGTGTCAGCAGCTCTGAGTACACTTAGCCCCAGAAAATAATAATACAGATATTCTGCTGAGAGATAGGTGGAGACTCCCTACACCTGTAAGTTCAGCTGCTTCACTTTCCTGTCACCTCTTCTCTCTTTGTGGCTGACTTAGACCAGAGCTACAGTGAAAAAAACAATGCAGAAGCATCTTTAAAAGCTATCTCTTGTCCAGTGCTGTAGAGGGACAATATTTCATTGTCTCTGTGTTGTGGGTTTGTTTGCAGAGGACACTGTTTCCACTCAGCATCCTGAGAGTGATAATCTTAGAGCTAAGGGAAATTGTTTTATGGGAAAAGAGGGAGGTGTTCAAAGTACAAGTGCTTATTTCCTGAGGTGGCATGGACAGCAGAGGGAAAAATAGCTGCTGCAAAGGACCTTTGCTTTTGGGAACAAGATATCTTCTTGGGCTTTCTCAGGGGGAAGGTTAATGATTTCTGTGGGGTTGAGGTCAAACAAGTGCATGCACACAGAGGGCCTTGGGAAGGCAGGTTCTGCCCAGCACACCTGGGGCTGGATGTTGTATGGAGCACTGCTCCCTAGCCCTGGGACAGCACTGCTATTCCTGACCTTCCCAGCAGCTCCACTGACTCACTGCTCAGCCTGCTGTCCACTACATTTCAAGGAATTCTCCCACAAAGTGCCCCAAGCAATGTTCTTCTGCCGGTATTGATTCACTGAAAGATAATCTTTAAAAGAATTTGAGAACAAACGTATCAGTCACAATCTTTTTTTGCAATAATTTCAGCAAAAATCAGTGGCATATTTCATAAGCAGCCCCTGAAATAACTTAGGGACCAAGTAATGTGATTCAATCCCACTAAAGGTTTATTGGAGGGTCTGAAAAATCAGTCTTTATTTCTATGACCAAAATTAGGTGTGCAGCAAATTGCCTTCTGGAGAGCCTTGGTGCTGTGCAAGAATTGTTCAGGCACAGACAAAGCACTGGTGTGTTTGTGAGTGTATTTTAGTCACAAATCCAACCAACAGCCCCAATGGCACTGCTGTGAAAAAAAGGCAACTCCATCTTTGCTGGAACTGGGACACTCAGAGTGATAAAACTGGTTTGATTATGGATTCTCTGGTTACACTAAATCACATTCATTCTTTTCTGGCAGGGACAAAGTCCATGATTTCTCATTGTTAATTTGTTGCTCATGAATAATTGTTTGCATCTTCCATTGGGAAGGAGTTCACTGAGTCCTTTTCCTATGTACCTTGAAAGAGGACTTGAAGGACTTGAGGACTTTCCTATGTACTTGAAAGAGGGTATGTGGTTCTGTGACTGAAGTGAGGAGCTAAACTAAAGTCTGGAAGGGCTTCCACCACTGCTGAGCAGAGTATTAAACACCTTCTTTTTACTGAAATTGAGGAAAGACTTCCTTATTAAGTAAAAAAATCTGGATTTTGTAGTCTGTGTCCCCAAGTAAATGGGTATATTGTCCATTGCCCCTTCCATTGTGTACACTTGAACACATGAGGTGCTGATCTTTGGCATTACACAAGCACCTAACCCTTAATATTGCAGTACAGATGATAGCTGTGAATGGGGCATAAATCTGACTTTTGCTACCCTTATGGACCATCGCTTCCATCCTTCAGTGGGAGTGAGGTAATGGTGGTTTAAATGAAAAAGGCTGAAACTTTAAAAACAGGAAGTGCCCTTTTGTATCCATAGGGAACTTAACAGGTACATCTGAAGGACCACCTTGATCTAAAAATATGTCAGTCTGATCTCTGAGAGGTGAAAATATGTACATGAAAACTAATATTGTCTATTTCCTTTTTGTTCAGCTTCCTGTATGCAGAGCCCAGGTTGTTTATTCTTGTGAATGATGCAATGGGTTAACGGATAGTATGTGGGTTATCAGTAAGGAAATCTGAAGGTATAAGGACCATAACAGTACCTAATGTTTCACTTTGATTAAACTGGTGGAATTCTGTCTAAATGGAAAATTGTGAAGGCGTACAGCCTTCATTTCATCAAGAGGATACGGTAGGAAGTAACTCGAAAGACAAATTGTCATATTATTTCTAAATTATTGTCATATTATTTCTAAATTATTAAATGACTTGAGGGCTTCCCATTCAAAACCCATGTGGTCTTCTTACAAAAGATTTTACAAAATACTTGCATAGTCCTTCCTTGCCAAGGCTGAGATTTAGGGAGATGTGAGGCTCAGGGGAAAGGTTTGGTGGATTTACTTAGGAGCTAAGAGTAATCACCAGGAGGTCACATTCTCTAACTTAGCTTGGCACAAGAGAATGAGCTTGTTTCCTTTTGGATACTGCTTCCATAACAAGCAGCCTTGCAAATGTCAAAGCACTTGATTTGCTTTAGAAATCTAAGTAAATTTAAAATATTTCATATCAATTTTAAAAAATAGACCTCATCCTTTTTGTTTCTTGGCTGCTTTATAGAGTGCACGGCAATGCAGGATAAAGCTCAGTTGCCTCTTAGAAATGAAAAAAGCTGACACACAGGGAAGCTGCCCATAATCCCTGACCCCTGAGAGCTTCAAGACATAAAGCAGCAATCAAGATTTTCTTTGAGGTGGGTCTTGTAGACATTGTTTCTGTGCCCAACTGCTCTTGCTTGGGCACAGATCAAGAATAATGTTTTGTTAAGAAAACAGCAGGGAGGGAATGCCCTTGGGTTGCCCCACCTTAGTGCTGCATGTTGGTGTTTTGAAGCTAGGGTGGGGTGATTTATATTTTGATAGCCCATTACCTAGGAGGGAAGTAAATAACCTGAAAGCTTGACCTCATTAATGCCTTGTTCCTCACCGGTGTTCTTGTTGTTGTTTATATGCTGCAAAACTGAGGGCAGCCAGGAGCTCAAGACAGTTCTTTACACTAAAAAGGCTGGCAAGCAGTTTTCCTGGGATGACTGCACCAAATACATTAGTTCACCCAAGGCTCTGAGAATTAAATGTACAGGCAATATTTTCCTCCTGAATTTGTAGGTAAGAGGTACCTGAGTGAGTGCCTTCAGTGCCAACCGTGTGGGACCTGCTGTAGGAAGCAGGACCTGCCTGGTGTTGGCACTGGTAAGAATCTCTGTGGCATTAGTCACAGATAGTGGCTGCCCACAGTCACTCAGGCTGTCTGGGCAAGAAAACGTGTGGGTTTGTTTCAGCTTCCTTGCTACAAGTCTCAAAGCCAGATATCCTCATTTTGGGCAAGAGATGCTCTCCCAAACCTGACTTATCCTGCTCATTTCTTGCTATGGCCTGTCCACATCACAAGCTGGTGAAGGAACAGCTCCCAGGGCCTCACTGTTTGTGAAGCGCATATCTCCCAGTTTCCTCCTTTTCACCTAATACTGACCATTTCTCTCTCTGTCTTCAGAAACCTTGAGGTTTTTTTAAAACAGATTAATTTTGGTTGCCTTGAGAGTGATTTTTTTGTAAAACTGCCTCATTGCCTCATTGCTGCTCCACTCCTTCTTAAATCTCAGATGGAAAATGC